AGAAGCGAACGTTTATGAGGAGGTAAACGGCTCTAATCTGTATGATTTATGACAGCAGGGAGTGACGACGCAGGCAGACGGTGTGTGTGTGTGTGTGTGTGTGTGGGGGGGGGGGGGGAAGGCTGCAGACGGTGTTTCTGGCAAGAGAACACAGCGATGCTGCACAGTAAAGGCCAGCGAGGACGACAGGCTGGTCAATAATCACAGCCACGCTGCTTCACTCACCGCCTAATGAGACCAATTACACGTGCCATCAAAAACAGGCGCACGACTTGACGACACAGATCCGTACGTACACCCACGTGTACGCTCGCACAGGAGCTGTTTGCTCAGTCTGCCTGTTTGGGTTTGTTTTCGAGTGTTTGTGCAATATGTCTGACAAACAATCTGCTGCTCGTTCTGTTTGGATAGGAGCCGTAATGAGAAGCAGCTCGACGGTCCACAGTCGCCAAGGCCCGACCACACAAACACAAAGTACGGTTTTAATAAGTAGCACTTTAAACAATAGTCACATTTTTAGTTCATTAAGTTGTAAAATAACCATCGCTAAAGCCCACAAAGTTATGTTTATAGACTTTATGAACACTGGATGCACAGCTGTAAAGACAAAGTTGTGACTTTATTAAACCTAAATACAGCTGGTTCAATACAAGCCTCTTCAAAATAAAGATGGCAACAAATCAAAACAAGACGTATGAGATGTGAATATACAACATCACAAAGGTTTGGAATAAAAGGAAGTTACAAGTAAAACATGCAGCATTTTGTCCAGCTTCTGGATAAAGTTTTAAAAGTAGTTACTGTGATCTACAAACAATATTCAGTCTTTTTTCACCGTCTGACAACAAATCTACACACAATAACACAATGAAACCTCTACAGAAGCCCAGAACGGACAAACAAATGCTGAACCTAATGGAGCTTAACTGCAATCTGCAACTTAGCCACTAGGTGTCACTTCAATTTACACTTTTTATCGCTCAAAAGTAAAAAAAATCAACAAAACTGGTTCCCACCAATAAATACATTAATAACGTTTCCTCAAACCTTGTGCTTTTTATTAATTAAGTTTTTGTAATTAATCTTTTACAACCTTATCAACGTCTAAATTTACACAAATTGTACAGATTTTTTTTAACGTAAAAACTATATAAATGGTAAAACCTGCTTCGTTTTCACAAACGCTGCATCGTTTTGTCTCCGACAACTAATCCAATAAAAATGTTCTGAAGGAAAAAACAATTTTATTTAATTTGCTTTTTTCTTTTTTCAAGCTTGAAGAATGTTTAGTAGCAAAACATAATACAACCCAGTACTAACATGGTACTACCCTTTAGGTATCTGTTAGGTACCGGGTAATTACCTGATATCTGGTATTTACCAAGAATGTACATAGTACATGTACACTAGTAATGCCTGTTCCATGGTATGTACAGGAATGAGCCCAGTATGTACCCAGTAATTACAAATTAAGTACCTGGTAGTTACTATGTACATACCTGGCACTTACCTATTCCGTAGAAGTATGTACCAGGTATGTACATAGTGCATATACACATTTGTACATACTGAATATTTACTTAGTACTTGCCTGTTCCATTGTACATACAGGAAAGAGCCCAGTATGTTCCCAGTAACTACAAGCTACATACCTGATACTTACCTGGTAAATAGAAGTATGTATCGGGTATGTAACTGGTACTTACCTGAGACAAATAGTTTGTATATACACTGGTTCATGCAGGTACTGGTCTGTATCATGTATTGCTACTGAGATTTTGTATTTGTCTATTTATTTATTTTAGAATTGACAATAAAAACGGCTTAAAGGAGCTTAAACTATCCAAACAAAACATTTACGCACATCTTCAGAACTAATTTAAGTTCTAAAACAAAACAAAAAAATTGTTTTGAATGTAGAAATCTTAGTTTTATCATTTAGTTTTGATTTATAGTTTAGATCGCAGAGTTTAACGTTAAAAATGTAAAAAAAAAAAAACAGAATCCCATTTTTAAAATGTAGGTTCAAATATTACAAATGGTGATTTGGCGACTTGTGCTGCAAAACAAAACACTTGTTTAAATCTTATTTGATTATAAAAGATGCTCATTTCTAAGTTCAGAATTTAATCCTAAAACATACCCAGTCTGTCTTTATATAACTACCATGGATTTGATAAGAAAAAGCAGCATTTCTCATCATCTTAACCTGTTTTTTAATCCAAAACCCTCTAAGATGCAGCTCAGATGGAACAACACGAGGATGTCTCAGTTTGTGTGAAACGAACGCTGCGCTCACAAACATGCTGATCCAACAATAAAAGGCAGGAATGAAAGGAAGGCGTCGCAGCGTCAGTACAAAACAGCGCACGTGACGGATGAACTGGGATGATTATGGCAGCATTAGTCAGTCTGAGCTGCTTCAGGGCTCAGAGAAAGACCTCTGAGTGTCACATACTGAAGCAGGTAGAGAAGTGACAGATTTACAGCAGCTCTTTTAGGATGCACCGGTCTTTGCAAAATAATAATAATAATAATAAAAACACTAAATGTGAAGAAGCAAACACGAACACACACAGATACAGTCAAAACTTGAAGAGCCTCGAAAGTCGTCCATCGGTGAGATCATCCTTAAAACAAACTGTCTTTTTGCTTCACGTGCATTTCATTTTCCTCCCGGGGGGCTCCATTACGGCTCTGAGTGGCTCAGGTTTCTGAACCGGGGGTCCATTAGCATAGCTGCTGCGTCTCTCCTCCCGCCACAGAGTCTTCAGGGCCTCATTGTGGCTCAGGCTGCCGTGTCCGTCACTCTGCCGTTAAGGGCCTTTCATTTCCTGCTCGCGTCCGATCAGTTTCTTAAAATGGGGTTCCTCATCAGGGGCTGAAAAGAGGGAGGATTGTGCTGAGCTGTGACTTTCCATTTCCCACCTCCTCTCTGCCGCTACACGTTCGCTCAAACAGCTGGCTGCTCTAGTCGAGTCGGCCGACTCCGAGCCTCCGCTAACAGCCGGAGACTCGCATGCAAAGGCCGCTCAGGTTAGACAAACGTCACGTTTTCTCTGTGAATGCAAAACGGTCTCGCTGACAGCGGTTTGTTGTGACATTGCATATTTCAGATAATTACAAGTTACCATTGCAGAAACAAAATGATGTGAGTTGGTGAACAGTAGGTGTTGCAACAAAGAATGTTTTCCCTGATCTTTAACGGTCAGTGGCTCGTGATTTAAAGGCTTATTTAAAAGGACAAAGGCTATAAATTAAGAGACTGCACCGACATATGTGTTAAACAAACTTTATGTCTGCTACTTACAATAAAAGATGAGTCGTCATAACACCCAACTCTTGCTTATTTATGCGAAATATTCCTGAAATACTGCACTTCTAATACTGTGTACAATAATCTGAGACTCTGCATCTTAACTACATCTACTTACCTCATTTAGGTAAATATGGATTATATATTTGTATGAGTTATTTGCTTCCTTCACAAAATAAAAGTATCCTGGCTTGATAAAGTAGCGTGAAATAATTGCACTAAGTTTGATTTTTATTATTAAAGGACTAGAAAGATTTTGACATGAGGTCCTTGAACCAAAAATCCCACAACAGTTTGTAAAAAGTGTAAATTTTCAAGTTATAAAATAACAAAAGCAAAAGATATCACTGAAAAATGTTATGTTTAATGTAAAAAAAAACCTTTTTGTAAAGTGGTATTTACTAAATATATATATATATATATATATATATATATATATATATATACAAATGTTCAATGCTGAATAAACTTTCTTCTCAGTAAAAACCCAACATTGGATTATTTTTGCTTCTTTTCATCTACAAAAACACACAGAGTCGTGTCTTAGCTACCAGAGGAGCCACATCACGACTCGTTAAGGTTACACGGCTTTGAAACAAATGATTACAAAGAGCTACACGAAATAAACCGAGATAAACGACCTGCTGCAGGCTTGGTTTAGCGTGGCTAATTAACAAGCTAACATCAGATTGAGCAGAATGACAGAAGTAACGACTGTTTATTTATTAACCTCGTTATCTTTAGGCCTACAATTAAATTTAGCTGCTGTTTATGGGTGAGTGACATATTGTTTGGGATACAGTAGTCACTCGTTTATCGCGGGGATCCGTACCCTAAAGCCCCGCGATAAGTAAAAAAAACGTGAAGTAGGAATAGTATACTGTATATAAAGGTGTTTTAAACACTTCCCACACTCTTGCAATATTATAAACAATGTTTCTAAACTGTAAACGCTCTAAAAGAGCCCAGAATGTCATGATTCCAGCTCTCTGCCACCTGCCAGCGCTCTCGGCCACGCCCACTTCTCCGCTGCAGAGCAGGGATAAGACACGCTGCATGAGGAAGCTTCTCCTGCAGCTGTGGGTGCACACACGTGCAGCAAGTGCTCAATAATTTGAAATTCTATGCAGATTGTGTGTCATGTCCAATCTTATGTTGAAAAACCGCGATAGAGCGAGTCCAAGAAGGAAAAAAAAACCAGGAAGCAGTGAGGGACTACTGTATACCTCTTCTTGTTGTATGTTGTGACTGTCCATTCTTCGGCATTTAGTTTTTAACATGTACTCCTAATACATCACAGCTCACCTGCATCCTATCTACAAATCAGTTACACCTTATGTGTATCTGTGCATTTATAATTTTTTGTGTCAGTATCCTTACAAATTAAAAACGGTGGTATTTTGTGCTCGAGTTGCTCGTATCGTCAGTGCCTCATATGAGCCACGGGTGCAGCTGACCACACTTTGACGTGATGACGGTCAGATTTATTGAAAGTTTTATCGTTGGATGAAGTTTTATCGTTGGATGTTGAATGAATGATGTGCAGCCACTAAACCTGTGTCTCCTGAGCTCGCCTCGCTGTGATTTACAGTGGTATTAGATAAAAACATTTCCTGGCACCAGAAACAGTGGAGAATACTGCTGCGTGTGTGTGTGTATTGGCGAGCACATGCTGGTTTCTTACTATGATGGTCGTAACAATAACAGTGCGGTTCTCCATGCCAGTGGTGTCGTTTGGAAGCAGCGGGGAGTCCTGGATCAGCACCAGTTTGTCTGCGTCGTTCCAATAGCCGATCTGCGGGTGGGAAAAATAAAAGCGTGAGATTCTGCTTCCAAGTATGAGAGAGCTAATATTGTAATCATCTTTATTGACACAGTCCCAGAAGAGTCTAATGGAGCCGTTTGGGTCGGCAGCACAGAGGAGAACCTTGTCCTCGAGGCATCCAGGAGTCCTTACACAGCAAACGTGATTTAACAAAGCTTTCATAAGAAGGTTCGTGTGCAGCCAAACGCTCCAACGAGTTCACAGATTTATGTGATTATGATCAGCGAAAAACTTTCAGGATGTTTCGTTACGTGACTGTCAGCTGAGCGCCCATCGTTAGACCCGTGTGTGGAGCAGATTTGTTCATCTCGAGATGATTGTCTCAGGAAACCTAATAATTAAACACTGGAACATATAAACGATCTTGTTTGTACTGAACACGTTGGTGTCTCTTACCAGGTACTTGAAAAGTTTTTTTTTTTAAATGGAGACACACCATCTTTAATCAATGCAAACAAATCTCAGAATAAACCGGTGACATTTTTTATTTTATTTTATTGACACTTGTTTTCAGACGTGTTTGTTTTGTTTCGACCACAACGGGTTTGCATTTTAATTTTGTTGCACTGCAGGTGCAATGACAATAAAGTCATTTAAATTAAAATCAAATAAAAGGTAATAAAATCTGCTTAATAACAGTAAAAACGAACGAGGAACGAATCAGAAAGCTATTGCTGTTTAACAATAAATACATGATGAATTCATGTTCATATTTATCAAACAGTTTGTGAGTAGATGGTCCGTTACTTGTGAAATAAGTGAGGAGCTACTTAATGATGCATTTAAACGCTGAACCCTGGAAAAGTAAAACTATCAGACCTAAATAAAAAAAAGATCAAAACAGCAGCTAAAATATTTTAAAAAAATCAAAGAACTATGTTAAAACAGATTAAAAGCAAATATTTTAAAATATATATTTTTAAAAATTCCTAAAACCAAAAGTCACAGCTGTATTTCCTTGAATTAGCTGAACAATTTGGTATAAGTGTAACAGAGTTAAAAATGTACTCTGAAATTTTTGTTTACTCTACTGTGGTAATAATATGTTTGTGGAGTTTATCTTCTTGAGGTCTTTTATTTTGAAATGCTTCAAAGGTGAAAATTATGTACTAAATTTCATTCTGGTAACTTTCTCTCCCTCACTTTGCCACCATGAAACGCAGGGTAAGTAGCGTCACTGCACGATCTCTTCCGAAGGCACAATTCGTACCATCAGCTCATTTGCGCTAAAAGAAATACTTCCGGGAGGGCTTTAGACGATGCAGATTACAAAATGAATGGATTTTCAGTCTTTCGACTTTCATCACCTGCAATTTTCCCTGAAAAACTTTTGCAGATGTGGATAGCAAAGTATGCCAGAAGGATAGGTTTCTACAGTAAATCTCATAAAAGATGACTTTTATTAAAATAAAGGTCTTCTGTTGTCAGTAATGTGTCCACCAGAGGGCGCGTTGACAGCGTAAACACGTTACAGTCCAATCAATCAACCAATACACATTTTTCTACTGAATTATAATTTTGAAAGTAAATTAAGAACGTTCTTATTCAAAACAGAATTATAACATTGTCTAGAAAAATTAATCAATGCATCAAAAGAGATGTTTTAATTAATATTAATAAACATGGTATGTTTCATAAATACATTTTATTAATATCAAAATGTATATATGTGTTGTATTAAATCAGCTTACAGGATATAATTAAGCTTAAGGCTGGAAGTAATTATTTCCAGTACATTTTCCTAAATCTAGCATATTCAAAAGTATTTCTTTTAGCGCATGCATAGATGAGCTGACGGTACGGATCGTGCTTCCGAAGCAGATCGTACAGTGACAAGTAGTGTAAAACATAGACATATACATGTAGACGCCTCATTGAGCGCTGAATTGTACGTCAACGTCGCCGCCATGTTGGATATGGCAAAAGTGAAGTGATGGAAGAAGACGCCTCATTGATCCAGAGTGGAACACAGACGATCTGGTTATTATAGACAGATTAAATGTTAAATATTAACATTTCTATATTTATCACCACAGTAATAGTGCTACACGATGGTAGCTGTAAACACTCAAAAGAATACATATGTTGGTTTAGTGCTTACCCTATAAATATTTTTTATAATCACGTTAAAAGTTATAAAAGTCGTCTTTGGTGCCTGTTTGTTTTCAAAATATATTAGTGTGTGAATGACAGGGATCAACTTAAAACACTTTGTAGAACGGTGCTTTGCGAAGTTCAGTCCATTTCCTTGTATTAGTTGACCGGCAGATCTGCCACATCCAACATGGCAGACGCTCTGACATACCGCTGCAGTGGTGTCAGCGTATATATGACTATGGCGTAAAAATGTTGTTGGTGGGTTTATTTTTTCTCTGTCTTCGAAAATGTGGCTATTTAAGTTATAAATTCTTTGGTTGATATCAATTTTACAAAGTTATTGTGACTTTTATTTTTAATTTGACCTAAAAAAAAACAAAAAAACAACAAGTTTTATTATTATCCAAGCTAGTTTGGCACCATTTTCAGTTTAGTGCGCCCACGTGCAGGACACACGGACGACAAATGATGCGTTTGGTTTATTGTCTTCTGCAGGAGAGCAAATAAACAGTATCTGGATGCTCCGTTGTTTGAAGAAAATGAGAATCGCTACATACGGACACTAACAACAACTGAAGTAGCTACAGAACATAAACAGAAGACACTATAAACAGGACAATGCTGACTCGGCCTTCATATTAATTATTGCTGTTTCCATGAACAGAAAAGTTTCTGAAGCGTCTAAACATTTAGTGAACCTGGATAAATCTCAAGGTTTCTGAATCTTTGCTGAGTTTTAAGAGATTTAACTTTCCCCGAAGACCAGATTTTACTTTTGCACAGCAGCCCAAGCTTTATTTTCTTGATTTATGAAGAAACTAGATCAATTTCTAAATCCAGGGTTTGTTGTCATGTTCAGATAATGTTGAAATTATTTCCTAGATTTCGTTCAGGGTCGAAAGCTCTTTAATAGAGCCTAATCATTGGGTCACTGGGTGATACCACCAGCTTCAAGCTCGGTTCTTAGGACTTTCCAGCTGAGGCTCCAGGTGAGACGTGCGGAGCCAGTGAGACATGCGGAGCCACGTCACTGGATGAGTCAAGAAAGCAACTTCTTCAAAACCACCATTCTACAGCCACACTGACATCCAGTCTTTTTGTAACGTGAGGTTTGTCAGCTCTCTCCAGCTCATTTTTAACTTGTGTATGACCAACCACAGACTGAGCACCAGCCAGGCATACCATGACCTCAATGTCCTCCATTGTTGGGCATTGCCCAAAAATATCATCAGAGTGTGGAGAAGCCTTGCTTTGATGATCCCACCCACATTGAGGCGGCACTCAGCTGTGCAGAAAATCACAGAGACCCTGCAGAATCGAACCAGGACCATAATAAGCGACCAACTGGAACTGTCGAACAGGTTGTCCTGCGTCCACAGTATTAGTATCTCGTGACTATAGTCGAATGGATCTGCCTAGCACGAGTCAAGCGCCGCCTGATTTAATCGTAAAAAGCCAATATCTGTAAAGTAATATGGTGTCAGACTGATATACTGACCCTATAGAGTCCACAGGGTTTGACAGCAGCTGTAAACAGCTATAAGTCAGTCAGAGGTGGTGAGGATGAGGAGCGCCGACACCTCCTGGGTGCTCAGTCATCAACATGATTGAGGGACATGGAAAATGTGGGGGAGACGCTTTGACCCTGAACAAACACACTCTCACACACACACAGTATGGCGGAGTGAGACAGGCCAAAGCAGCTTTGATTGATGGGAACTCCTCTCCTCTTCTTCCTGCTCCCACCTCCGCCGGGATACCCTGATTGCTTTCTGTTTCACTTCATCCTCCCCTCATCACTCCTTCAAGTACTCCCTCTTTTCTCTCAATTTCTTCAACTCCCATCCATCCTCTCACGGAGCCAAAGCTCTTTTTTTATTATTTTCAGCCTACTTATGATAATAGAAAATGACACGTCATATATTATTTTATACCAATCCTCTGACGGCAGCACACGTCTCTAATCTTATAAGGATGTATAGAGCGGGCAGCCAGTTAAAGTGTGGAAGTTAGAGAATAATTTTACATATTTTACAGCTAAAAACATTACAAAAAAAAGTTGATCATACATGTATGTTGCAGTAGAGCTTGTAGCTGTTGCTAACCAACGCTGCAGAGAAGGAAACAGGAACAAGTAATAATTATTACGAGCAGCTTCTTGGTGTATATCTTAGATCCTTGTATACTGCTTATTTGTATACTTTATATTTTTGCTATTTTTGGGTGTAACTGGGACCTTGAGTACATAATTTTGTTCCACCTCATGCACCACAAGAGATGCAAATGACAATAACAAAACTTGAACTTCAATTAAACACAACAAACAATGGGATTAACCTGTCTAAATCAAGGTTGAATGAATGAAAACTCAGTATTTCTTAAACAATTCAGAGACGTCCGTGATTGTAATTTTTCTGAATCTTAAAGCTCAAATATGGAGAATGTTGTTGTGAGGCTGGGAAATGTAAATAAACTCTTTTTTACAGTTTGTTATAAGTATAAGAGTACTCCATCAAATTTTAGGAGACATAAAATTGGATGTATTTATTTATTATGCCCGTTTCTCTCAGCAATCTAGTTCCAGTGGGAAACCAGGACCAGACTGTTTGGATCACAAAAACAAAAAACCAACAGCGGCAACTCTTTACTGGACCAGAGAGAAGAGACATTTTCAGTAGCTATGGTTACATGCACAAAATTCTTTGATCGGATTGAAATGTATTCAGATAAAATAATCCAAATGCAGCGTTTACATGCAGCGGGCTTTTATTCTGCATAGAAGTACTGACGTGAGCAGAGTGGTAAACGCTCCTCAAAAAAACACAGAAGAAGAAGTTCTACTTCTGTGATGAACGTAAACAAACCCGAGCGCCCAAAATGGACCCGCGCCAGGTTTTAATGATGGTGGAGACGTTCCTGCACTCCCTGACTGAGCTGCAGGTGACACAGATCATTTTGAGCTCTTTCAAAGTTTCTAGTAGAAATGTTGTGTCGCTCACCGACATATCACCAGCTGTCCTGTGAATTCTGGTCAGTGCACCTTCTCACAGTCACAGAGTCCAACTGAATTTAAACACAATCATTTACCTACATTTATAAACACAACCAGCTGTGTTTGAAACAGTTTCCTGGTAAAGTTGCATATACTTCTGGTTTGCAGTTTTGTTTACAACATGTCAAACGTCCATGTAGTGGGTAAAACTGAAACTTTATTATTTCAACCTGAGGCACCTTGTCACCCAAGGGCCTCAATGCACAAATAGATATTTAAAAATATGTTTGTGTGCCGTTCATTGGTTTCACCTTAAACACACTGTGTTGACACCTGATACTGTTATTCATTGTACTAACAAGCCTCTGTGGGCCATCAAACATTAATGCACGCTTGTTAATAAAAAAATACAATATTATTCAGCAGTCTCACTTGATGATGACTTATTGTCTGAGAGCTGAGGGACTTTCTGAGACTGTGTTCTTCTTATTGTGTATATCTACACTTGAATACATTTTTTCTGGTACTTGTACAGTAGTAAATAATGACGATAAGAGGGTCTTTAGCTAGGATAAGATATTAAGCAACCCGATAGTTAACGTGAAGAAGACCACGAAGCCGCGGTCCAAAAACATCCTTTTACTTTCATAATTTAGGAACTCGTGAAACAGGAAGTGTTTTATATAAAGCTGGTACAAAATCTGACGTATGGCGCCATTTCTTTTACCGTCACTAACAAAAACCGGAACATAAACGACAACCAGACACGAAACAACCAACAGCAACAACCCATGTGAGCACATGCCCCGAAAAGTCCGCCCACTGTTGTTTTCAAGTATAACAGTTCACAGCCCTGTGTTTTGGCCCCGCCCACTCTACATGCATGCTGCGATTGGTTAAATTTGCTGTCAGGTATTAAACAAACTCCTCCTGCAGAGTCTCTGACTGAGTTCAGCCTTCTCTCCTGACAGTGAAGTCCTGACCAGTGAGAAAGTTTCTTTAAACATATTTCTGCCCGGAGACGTGAATTTAAAATAATCTGATTGGATAATTGTTATTACATGAATTTAAAGTTTCTTTCTCAAGTGCAAAGTAGTTTACAGAAAATAAGAGAAATGATGAAAAAAAACTACTTTGAAAATATGTTTAATATAAAATAAATAAAAATTTAAATGTAACATTTCATATGTGCTGAATTTATGGGCCTTCTACACCTGATGGTTCCCCTCTGTCTGAATATAATTATTAGTCCTCACCTTATGTCAACTCACTGTCTTGCTGCAGAGAAGCATCTTCAATTAATTCACGTTTTTCTACCTAATGAGATTTTTTTCCCCCACAGGCTGATGTTTATTTTGTGCTAATTTAGATTTGATATGAAAAGTCAAATGGCTTTTTTATATTCTTTGATTTGTGTTTATGTATTCACAGTCTTCCCTTACAATCAGAGAAACACAAAAATCACAGATTATACCCCTCAGAAACCATAAAACTCTTTACTTAAAACCAGGGCTAAAACATGTGGCACGTAAAGATTTACCAACAAAAACACAATCAGCGGAAGTTGAAATCTTACCCTTCTGGGTCCATTATTCTTCAGTTCAAACACGTCCATTGTGTAGTTGACCCTGCGGCCATAATGGTCAAACTGGACATTACCTGTTAATCCCTGCAACCGGACCTGCACACGGGGACATAAACAAACACACACACTATGATATGATACAAGGCTAACAAAACCATATATTAACTACTGTATTTTCCGACGTATAAGTCGCACATTTTTGCCCAATTTGCATGCCCTGTGACGTTTTTATGTTTCTTCCTCTATATTTATAACCCAATTTTTGGCTGAGAACTGACAATTTCATTCATTGACATGGAAAATATTGACCACTACCATTTTCAGCCACTAGAGGGCCATCAAACAGTATGGCAAGCCAAGTGTCTTATTAATGGGTAAAAGTGGCTATTAATGAGACACTTGGCTTGCCATACCAAGCCACCTTCGTCTCGCTCTGGAACTCCTGGAGCAAACGTCAAATCAGAAGATTTTGCTGCACCACCCCGGCGAAATGCAGCTGATTTGACCATTAAAGTGCATTTATTAAGAAAAAGTTCAACTGAGACACACATTTCCTGTAAATTCGAGCAAACAAATATTTGTTTTTCAGTGTTAATCTTGTTAAATTCTTGTCCCCCCGTGCACGCTCCCGCGGCCGCTATTTGGCAGCCAATCGATTTTTGGAACACCAGCCCCCATTTCCGGGTTGTCAGCGGTGATGCGTAACAAACGCGACGTGTCAGCGGTGACGCATAATAGAAGCAACTTATACGACGAAGCGACGTATTTATGTATTTTTCCACTTTATTAGACATACTGTATTTGGACTGATGCGACGTGTACGGCAGAAAATACGGTATAAGAAAAGCCTGAAAGACTTTGAACTGTGAGATAACACAGGACTGAGCTTCTTTATGAATGATATAAAACATCTGCATTTAGCGATGTTCACTTTGAAATAATCAAAATGTTTATATTCTAATATTCATATTCCAAACTTAAGTCATTCAAAGAACTATCTATAACAGGTAAGATATTAACTGTTTATAAACTTTCTACAAAACTCCACCTGAAAATCTCTAAACTACTCCTTTATGTAAAATTATATTTAATTTTTAGTGTCTTTTAACTGTTAAATATTGGTAGAATGTACTGAAGAAATGGATTTAAAAAGTTTACACTTATTGTGATGGTTAAAAACAGACTCAACACAGACTACGACTGAAAATCTGACAGGAAGCAACTAAAACAACTGAAACGCTCTCATTCCTCTCACACTGCATTCTACCTGCTCACCGCCTCCTCCAGTTGATACCAGCAAATTAAACTCACGAGAACACAGGAATGGACGCGTCAATCAAATATAAATCAGAATCGTCCTTTCTACAACACCGCTCGACGTGAGCTCGGTGATTCTCTCGCCTGTTTGAGGGTTCGCTCCATATCAATGCCTTGGTTCCACGGGGCGGCGGGGTTAGCGAGGCAGTCGCCGGCGTTCCCTCGTCTGGAGAGGTCCACTTTCTGTCTGCGCAGGTTTCTGAAGGCCTCGGCCATCACCATCACCCCATCGTACGTCAGCGCCGAGGTGTACTGTGAGACAGGAGATGAAGACGTTAGTGCGTTCAGACCCAGCTGGATGATGCTTCTGCCTAAACACTCCATTAGGAACCACAGTCCTCCTCCAGTCTGTTAGAGATATAAAAGTGAGGTAAAGCTCAGCGGGGAGAGAGCGTGTGATTTGTAAATTACAGTCTCCATAAACTGCTCTGTCTGTTTTACCATTACAGCACTGGCGGGACGCAAACCAGGAAAAGGTATGAGACCAATTAAATACCGATTTAGCCGGAGAGGTGCAATGTTCTGCTGGTCAGATCTTCTCAGAAACGATGTGCCTCTGAGAGCGTGTGGGGTTTCTGCAGGGCCGAGCAGTTCAAGATAACAGCCTGCGCTGTTGCAGCGGAACAGCAGTCCAACTCTGCTCATTATTTTCTGGAAACAGAACGAGGGGAGGAGAAGAGCGAAACATAGGAACACAGTCCCCCCCCCTCAAGTGTAAGCCTCCCAATTTACCCAAATTTATCTCTGACTCGAAGCTTTTTTGTGCTGATTATTTGGCCTAAAAAAATCCTGCTGTCCCTCAAGAGCCATAAGTTTTCCTATAAAACTCACCTCTGGCACGGCAGAAAACTAATTGAGTGAATGATGAAGAGGCAGAAAGAAAGGGAGGTCCGGGGGTTGTTGGGGGGAGGAGGGGGTGGGAATGGGAAGAGGCAACAGTTTTGTCCAGCCAGGAAACAGCCGGGCATTAATTATCCCGGCTAGCAGGAGTTTATTAACTTTGCCTGTGGCCGGGGGTGAATCCTATTCATTAAGCTGCTGCTCACAGTGACATTCAGGCTGCTGCTCTGTTTCCTGCTGCTCCTGACACACACACACACACACACACACACACACACACACACACACACACACACACACACACACACACACACACACACACACACACACACACACACACAGTCGTAGGAAACAAACTGATTCACAGAGGTTCAAGTATAGACTTCATCAAATTTTAATTTGCCGGCAAATGAGAGAACTGTCAGTTTCACAGAAAATCAAAAGTCTTCCATTCTGCGATCAGTTCTGATGCTTCTCCCTTAACAAGTTACATCAGCTGTTTAAATAGTCACACAGACTGAACGGGAAAAAACAGGTACGTGGAGGGGGATAAACATATCTGCCAACCTACATAGATTTCTCAAACCTATGTAGATTTCTCCAACCTATGTAATTTCTCCGCCCTACATAAATTCCTCCAACCTATGTAATTTCTCCAACCTACATAATTTCTCCAACCTACACAGATTTCTCAAACCTAGATAGATTTCTCCAACTTACACAG